ATATGGGTCAGTTCCAAATGGACCACTTTTGTTTTGTTTCTTTCATCACTTATCTGATAAATATTTGGTGAGCTCCTACTATGTGCCAGGACCTGTGCTAGGTATGGGGGTGCAGTGCTGAGAAGAAATAGTGGTCCCTGCCTGCAGGTTCCTCACAGGCTGATAGGGAGGCCAGACGTGCAACCGTGTTGTGAGAGGAACAGAAAGGGGTATTCTAGATGCCCATAAGAGTTCTACCCAACCTAATCTCTAGGGGTCATGGGTGTCAAGGAAACCTTGTCAGGATGACTACAGGTTAGACAGATGAGAGGAAGAATGTTCCAGGCACAAAGGCCTAGAGGTGAGAAGGATGATGGTGTGTTCAAGACTTGAGCATAATTCGGTGAGGAGAGGGTAAGAAGACCAGATCATGCAGGACCCTGTGTGCTGTGTTCAGACCCCTAGGTTTTCTCCCAAAGCAGGAGAGCCACTGAAAGAGTTTGAGTAAAGGACAGGTATGTTTGCTGCCTCTTTGAGTATTCTGGGGTCAAAGGTCTTCTTTCTTCCCAGCTGGTCTGAACCACAGTCAGGTGGACCCTCCTGGGAGGGATGTGACCGGCCTCAAACCATGCCCTGTAAAACAAAAAACGTATCTCCGAACCCAACTCTGCCACAGACAGGGTTGTGGGGCTGGACAGGATGTTGCTGGTGAACCCCATTCTCAGGCCACCCCACACCTGCCAGGGCGTGGCGATTCTTGGCAAGTCTTGCTTCTGTCTCTTCCGTGGAGGCCCCGACTCAGAGCAGCCAGTGTTGCAGGACAAGGTGGCCTCCGCACCTGGTCCCCCTTCCTCCTCCAGCTTCTGTGAATTTCTTCTTCAGTATCTGCCCCTCCTCCCACTAGCTGGGGCAGCCGATGCATATCCTGGCCTGCTTGGGCAGAGAGGTGGCTGAGGGAGAGCCAGGCAGGTGCATCTGTGAAGGGGCAGAATCGGTGTGGCTACGGGGTCTCCTGCCACACTTCCTCCACTGCCAGCAGCTGAGCCACCTTTCCCTCCCCTCTGTAGACTTCAGACTGACTATCCCACTGAATGGGAAGTAGCCCTGTGCACCTCAAAATACGCTTCCCCCTCTGGCAGGTGCAACCTGCATTGAGGCCTGGCTGTGAGCCCACAGTTGCTCCCCTGCCCTCCGTGGAGACAAAGATGAAGTTAACCAGAGGCACAAATGGCTGGCTGTGCCTCCAGACACATGGCTTCTGAAATATTTATCAAAGCTGTGGAAATAAAAAGCTCCTGGTATTGCGGTGCAGGCTGGCACCCACAAGGCCGGGCAGCATTCCTTGAGCAAAGCCACGGGGAGCAGCTGATCTGAGCCCTGCTTTGGTTTTGGTTGATTTGTTGTTTGCTTTGTTTGGGGAGGAGGGGGTATGAAAAGTGGCACAGCTATTCACTGCTCTACCCCCAGAACCCAGCACAAACACCTTTTGCGGACAGAGGAGATCCGCAAAAAATGATTTTTGAAGGAATACTTCCTTTTTTACATTTTTATTTATTTTGAGAGACAGAGAGAGTGTGTGCAAGCAGGGGAGGGGCAGAGAGAGAGAGAGAGAGGGAGAGAGAGAGAATCCCAAGCAGGCTCTGTGCTCTCAGCACAGACCCCGATGCGGGGCTTGAACTCAGGAACCGTGAGATCACGACCTGAGCCGAAATCAAGGGTTCAACGCTTAACCAACTGAGCCACCGAGGCGCCCCTTTGGAGGAATACTTCTTAAAGGATAGTTGGAGAGGAGGGTGTTAAAACGACACCTACCCATATGTCTACACCATTACAGAAAGACTTTTACTTTCGAAGGTGGCATGTCAGGCCTGCCTACACGCAGCTAAACTTTTCCATAACAGTGCCACACTCACACATGATTTTCTACTCTTCTACTTTCGCTTAGAATTATTTCACAGTACTTCTGGCTCCCTAGCACTCAAGATTTGAGCACCATCATGTTCTTGTCCCCGCACCACCCCGCCCCTGTCCGGATCAAATCAAGATGAGTCAGCCCACCCCATGCCAAAGTTGGAGAGAAATGAACTTTCGGTCATATTTCCCACCCCTCCACCACCTTCAATGTCTTCCAGGGCCTTATGTGGTTCAAGAAGATGGGTGCAGGGCCGCTGGTCTTCAACTTGTGACAGCTGGGACACCCTGCTCCCTTCCCGCTACCTTCACTAGGGTACAGGAGTGTCTGCTGAGCTCAGAGACCTGCCAGCGCCTGCGGCATCCCAGGCTCCTTAGTCTTAGACACTGACATCCCCAGTGCCAGCCATGTCCACCCCAGGGCCCAGGGGGGTGGTCTTCAGAGTGGCCTTGAAAACAAGCAGCTAGTGATTCCCTTCATCCATCTGCCACCCTGTATGGCACCCAGAGCTCCCTGAACAAAGGCTGTCCTTCCAGGAGAGGATGAGGGAAGTGGAAAATTACATTTTCACTGGCTAACATCTCCGTACAACAACAGAACAGGACAGAAATTAATTATGTCATATACATTCTCCATGGTGCTGCATCAGCATTGGAATACTCATTTTCAAATTTATTTATAGCTTGTCTCGTTCCTCAAAGGACTTCAGGCAGCTACAAGAATAAAGACAATAAAATAGGGAAAAAATAAATTTTAAAAATCACGACCAGAGAAAACATGCAGAACAAAATACCCATTATCACACATTTCTGACTGCAAAATCTCCCCCAGAGTCAATGTACCACTTTACTAAAACAGCCACTCCTGTTGGATGTTGCCAGTTTATTTCATTTTGGGTGGTTTACGGCTGTGGTTGTGGTTTTGTTGTAACAGATAGCGCTGCAGCTAACACCATCTTGCTGAGAGCTTCGTGCTTCTGTTAAGTGATTTTTCAAGATAAATTCCCAGGAGAGAGATTACAGGATCAGAAGGTCTGAACTTCTGTGGGGCTCTAGCTACGAAGCACCAGATTGCTTTCTAAGCACAGTTGAGCCAATTTGCAACCTAACTTCGAGCCTATTCTAGAGCTGGGAGTTGAGCCCCAGAGGTGTGGGAGGGGGCCCAGGGGTGGTGCACAGGTGCCTTTTCTAGCTTGAACCCCTCCTGTCTGGTAATTGATGGAGATGGGAAAGAGAGAAACCGAAGGAGGCTCCTGCCCTAAAGGAGCTTTCTGGAATAACTGGTCCTGGAGGGGATGGACGTGGCTACTCCAATGTTCACAGCTATATGGTTGGTGATGGTCAAGGGCCCAGGCCTACTGGTGTCCTCCTCCCCCTCCCTCTTCACAGCCCACGATGGCTGTGCTATGTCCTACATCCCTGATCTGGGTCCCTTATACTGTAGGAAAACTGATTGTGTTTAAAGTGCCCCCCTGCCAGAGACACAGAGAGAGCTGTAGCACTGTGCAGGGTACCTGGAGACCATGGTGCCTTCTTCAGGAAGGGTGGCTAAAGGTCAGGTATGATATTGGTATTGGTAAAAAGCCTTGTGACCAGAGAGACTAGCAGTCTCTCTAGGAGACTAGTGTCTCCATGAGATTGGGAGCTCTCCAATGCCTGGGGCCGTTTCCCTCATCAGATTAGGAATTCCCCCAAAATGGGCCCAATGTCTTTCCTGTCTGCTGGGGAACTCCCCGAGGCATGCTCCCTCTCTCCCCATCTTAATAGGGGTTTCCTGAGAGCATAGCTCTGCCCCCTTCCTCAGACAAGGACGCCCCTGTGGGCAGAGGCCATATTCTCCCACCCACTTGGGGTTCCACATCTCCAGCATACGCTGTGTATGTACTAGCTGGTACATACAGGATTCTTGGAATAAGTGGATAGTCTGCTTCTTGGAATGGTGTTGACCATTTGTAATTCTTCAGTGTCTCCAGAACCTTGGCCATTCATTAGATAGGGGCCATGTGCACAGCAGGCTGATCTGGCTCCTGGCTCCTTCTGCTTTAATTTGGCTAATTATACAACCAGACTCTTTTCTGGGCTGGTCTGGAAGAGGCTCCTGGAAGGAAGGAGGAGGAGATGGGAAGGTGGCAGCTAAGATAGTCATCTCTTATTCCAGGAAGGCTGCTCTCTGGAAGTTTAGGCCCAGGGTTAGGGCTCTCTCCAGCATCTTACCCCTTGGGCTAGAGGAGCATGACCTGTGGAACAGAGCTAAGCTAGTAGCCTGTGAGGTCTGACATTCAGGCAGCATCCAGGTTCACAGAGCTGTTCCTTACATTATCCCCTCTTATTTGGAGGAATCCAGAGGGTGTGAACAAGTACACATTTACAAAAATCGGGTAAAGAAACCAAGGAATGGGAAAGGTAAATGACCTGCCCAAGGTCAGGGACTCCACCCTTCTCTGACTTGAAGTCCAGCTCCCTTTGCTCTCTGGGATCCCTGTGAAGGGTCCGAGGGCCACACTTTAAACAGAACAAAGAGGGGACCTCTGTTGCAGCAAACCACCTGCCCCACCTAGGCAGGGACTCTAAGCCTTAGAGCCTAGGGAGACCCTCTTTTAAGCTGTCCTTAGTTACTAATACCTCAATGTGAGTGAGTTTGAAATCCTTCCCAAGAGCCATGAGAGATGAGGAATCCTCTAAGCCTCAGAGAGAACCTGGCTTGGGGGGATACAGGGACCAAAGGCAGAGCAAGGGGTAGCAACCTAGTGCCCCCCAGAAACACATGAAGCTGACCTCACAGTTGGCCAAGGGCAGCCAATGCTCCAATCTCTTCTCTCACCACTTCTCATGGGACTTCCTTCCTGCTGACCACCTGGAGCAGAATAAAAGCATGTAAGCTTTTGTCTAAAGGCTCAGGTCTCAGACACATGGGGCAAGAGTCTTAAGGGAAGCAGGGTAAGGAGCTGGAGGGACCGCAAGGCTAGAGTTCTGCCCCTACTCTGCCCAGCTCCACCCTGGTGGCTGGAGAAGGGACCCCATGGGCTGCACTGCTTCCGGACCATCCTGGGCAGCTTCATTTTTAGCTCTCTCATCCCTCCCACTAAACTTCCCTTGTGCTTCCTCCACAGTTTTCATGAACACGGCCATCCCCATTGCAGCTGTCCTCATTGTAAGTGGATCCCTTCTCCAGCTCCGGATGCGGTGGGTGGCAGAGAGTGTTTGCAGTGAGAGGCGGCCCAGGGTTTGGCCTCTCTGCACAAGGCCTTCGGATGATGCACTCAGCGGTGGGGCTGGAAATAGGGAAATAGACTGAAAGCCTGTAATGCCCAGCAGTGCCTCCCTGACCCCAGGCAGACCGGGGCCTCTGCCTCTGGGCCCAGAAGACCTGCGGCTTCGTCTTTAAAGAAATCTCACTTTCTTTTAAAAAGAGCTATCAAACTTTTTAATTATAAAAGTAAAGACGTGTGTATTGCAGACATGTTGGGAAATTAAATCACCCACAGTCCCACTGGCAACATCTTTAACGTGTTTCTTTCCAGTCTCTTTTTAAGGCACATAATGTGACATTTTTACAAAAATAGGATTGTGTCGCACATGCAGTTTTGTAACCTGCTTTTTAAAGTTTAAGAACACGAATAATTCTCTACATCATTAAATGTTGCAGTGGAGGTTTCCTAAAGCGATTTTGACCAAAGCTGTGTGTGAGCCCAGCAGTGGGGGCCCGAAGTAGACCCCTCCAGAAAGGCCGAGCCCCCACTACCGCCCAGGGCTCCCATCCCTGGCGTCTGTGGCGGCCACAGTTCTTTAAAAAGATGCATTTTTTTCCCCTGGGGGCCGGTGTCCCTGAGCTGTGGCGAATTTACAGCCGTCAGACACACTTGGGAATTCACTTTTGACATGATTTATTGGGCTGGTTCTGGCCTGGCTCCTTGGGGAAGCCTGGGTCACAGAGGCTGCTGAGCCAGCCAGGTAGCCGAGGGTAGAGAGGAGGTGGTTTGGGAATGATCATGCCCACATTTTCCCTGACTGAGGACTGCTGTCTGAGGGGGCAGAGCTGACCTAAGCTGAGGGCTTCCCTCTGGTCATTCCTGGCAAGGAGGGGGCAGGACAGGGTGCAGCAAGCAGCCCAGCCCTCCAGCGTGAAATCCTGAGCTTGCTGGAGACGTTTCCAGGAGGTGATTGAAGATGATGAAGGTGTCTCTAACAGAAAGCTCTCCTTGGGTCCCCTGTTCCAGCCCAGGGGCTGAGTGCTGCCAGTATGGGAGAGGGCCATGCTCTGAGTCACATACCTCGCTTGTCCTTCTATCCACAGACCTTCGTGGGCCACGTCAGCTTCTTCAAAGAGGCCGACTTCTCGCCCTCGGTGGCCTTCGCCTCCCTCTCGCTATTCCACATCCTGGTCACACCACTGTTCCTGCTGTCCAGCGTGGTCCGGTCGACAGTCAAAGCTCTAGTCAGGTGAGAAGAGGGTCCAGCAAGGACACTGGATAGGCAGCTCGTATGGTGGCCCCAGGGCTTGCTCCAGTGACCCCTACAACTACAGCTGTTTGGTCCAAAGTCATGCTTCCCCGTTGATCTGGGCCTCGCTGAAGGCGGTCATAGTTGGCCTGAGGGACATAGCCGTGTGTGGCTCCCCTCCATGCCATCCCTGAGAAGGGACTACCTAACTGGCTTACCTACATACCTCCAAGGAGAAGAAACCCAATGGCACCTGCAAGACAACTCTATAAAAAAAGAAAAAAATTCAATGTTGAGCCAAAATTGGCATCTTCTCATAAATTCTGCCCATTGGTACTAGTTCCACCCTCCAGAGCCACCCAGAATGAGCACTGTTCCTCCAGCTCCTCGGATTTCAGAAGGTATCCACTGAATCTTTGTCTTCCTCAGGCTGAACATCCCCTCTTCTTTCCACGGGTCCCAGAGCCTTCCCGACCCTGGTCAGTAAAGCAGCTTTCCCTAAGTGCCTGCATGTCCTGTCCCCCCCTTAGCCTGCAACTCTGGGAGGCCCCTACGTCTGAGCTCTAGAGCCCTGTGGCCACTCTCCCAGAGACATCACCCTCTTGGGAATGGAAACCCGAGGGTAGAGCGTTGAGGTTTTGGCTGGGGAGTTCCATACCTGGAGTGAAGATCTCCTTGGACCACTGAAATAGCTCCTCGAAAGCTAGGTCTTGGCATGCCTCTGGGGAGAGCCAGCTATGTCCTTTCCCACCACCAATGGGACCAGACAGTACCCAAGCCCCTTCAACCTTGAGAAAAGTGGCACCCTGGTCTCATGAGACCCTAGCATGTCCTAGACAAGCTGGCAAGGGGAAATCGCTGTTGGAACAAAGTCGCTGATGGAAGGAACAACTCACACAAAGAAGCTCTGGCCAGGGTTCAAGGATGGAAGGGGGCATAACTCAGCAGAATTGTGGTCAAAGGAGTATATAACCAGGGAGTAGTTAAACCAGGGCTGGAAGAAGATTAGCTCCTATTTCCAGGCTTGGCTGTGCTGATTCAGTTTAATTGGCCATGGCATTGTGACTTCTAATGATCACCCTTCTACCCCCACCCCCACCCCAGCCCAGCTCTCTGATTCTGTATAGAAACCACAGGTCCAAGGATGCTGCAGCTGTTGGAATTCCCTTGTGCTGACCCAGAAGCATTTCCATATGCAGACACTCCTAATACCACTGTCACCAGGGTAGCTGAGGCCTTCTCCTCCTTGAATTGGGATTAATAACACCTTCCCCAGCAGGATTTAATTATATGCTTATAAAGCATTAAACACAGTGTCTGGCATATAGTATGTGCTCAGTAAATACTAGCTATTATTAATAACCAATCCCAACCCTAACTAAACTTAACACTAACCAACCTTAACTCTAACAGTAATGGATAAAGCCCTACACCAATGAACCAGCTTTAACATTTAACTACCCCTAAAACTAATCAATCTTACCCTAACCCAGACCCTAATCCAGTCTAGCTGACTGATAACATCAGCTGCCCACCATGGATGCCCACTGATCTGTCTCCCTCCAGTGTGAGCTTTGTGGGGACAATACCGCAGGACCCAGAACCTTCTCAGAGCCACTCTCTCAGGCTGCACCCTCCTCTCTCTCCCCTTCCCTCTGCCCCTGGCAAGGGTGAGAGGTGTCTCTATGCTTCCTTTGCAGCGTGCAAAAGCTGAGCGAGTTCCTGTCCAGTGCAGAGATCCGCGAGGAGCAGTGTGCTCCCCGGGAGCCTGCGCCCCAGGGCCAAACCAACAAGTACCAGGCAGTGGTGAGTGCCCGGCTTTCCCTTGCCACCAGTGTTTTTCTCTAATGCCTGTAGCCTGTGCCCTTCTGTGTCCTGCCTCAGCTTCTCGTCATAGGAGGGGGGACTCCCTTCCCTGCACAGCTTCCAGCCCTGTGGGCCCTCACCTCCTCCTGACCATTCCCAGCCCCTTAAGGTTGTGAACCGCAAGCATCCAGCCCGGGAGGACTGTCGGGGCTTCACGGCCCCACTGCAGAGGCTGGTTCCGAGTGCAGATGGGGATGCTGACAACTACTGCGTCCAGGTGAGTCCTAGAACCTGCACCCCCACGTCTGGCCCCCCAGCACCATCTCCAGGAGGGAGCTTAGCATCAGAGACCTATATGCTGAGTCCTCTGCTCTGGAGGTCACCCTGCCTGCCTGGAGGGCCCATAGCAGTCCCAAAACCAGGGACAAGTTCTCCTTCTCCATTGAATGTGGGACCCCGTGCCTGTCATCTCAGAGAGGGTGATTCAGGCAGGGGTCAGCAGGAGAAGGCCATTCCCCACTCCCCTGCCCTAGAAGTGATCCAGGGACTGAAATCAGGGTTTCTAGCTTTCAGGGCGGGAGGGGAGGCAAGAGACCATTCACACTGAGAACCCAGCTGCCTTTCTATTCTTTTCCGGGCTGTGGGCTACCACCAATGAAGATCATTGGAGGCTTCTTCACATGGACTCCTGATGGAATCCCCACACTGTCCAACATCACCATCCGCATCCCACGAGGTACGGCCCGGCTCATGTCTCTAGCATGGTCTGGGAGTGCCCCTCAGGGTCATAGCTGAAGTGCCCCCTCTACATGTCCCACTGAATGACAGAGAGAGAAAAAGAAAAATCTGCATGTATTCAGCACCAGCTCAATGCTCACTCTTGGTGGGTACTCTGGGGTATGAATACTAGAGAGAGGTGGGCTACCCATGCTAGTGGGAGTCAGCAGCAAGGACAGGACAAGACAGCAGGACCTTGATGTCCAGCCACCTGCTGCAGACATATGGGTGCTTCACAGAAAGAACAGCAATCCCCAGTAGCCAGGGAATGTGCCATGAAAGAGGTGGGGCTCCTGAGAATGAGCAGGGTCCCTCGGGCCATGAGGCAGGGTGGGCATTCTGGCAAAGACAGCAGCATGAGCAGAGCATGGAGGTGGGATGGAGATGGGACCCAAAGTGGCCTTTGTTGGGACCATGAAGAGTTGGGCCCACACTGGGGAGTGAGAAGAAGGATCTAGAGTTCCAGAAGGGAAGGCTCAAAGGGAGATTCTAGGTAGGAGGAAAGCAAATGGGGGTCCCAGGGTTGCATGTATCTGTCTGTCTTTCTGGGTGATAGTCATTCAGACTCCCTGGTGCCCTAGTCCCATTTGCCCCCCGCCCTCCCTGCAGGCCAGCTGACCATGATCGTGGGGCAGGTGGGCTGTGGCAAGTCCTCACTCCTCCTAGCCACCCTAGGAGAGATGCAGAAGATTTCAGGGGCCGTCTTCTGGAACAGGTACTAAATGCACCCTCAGGGCTCAGCTAGTGGGGAGAGCTAACAGTGGGCAGGCGGGCAGCCTTTCTTTCAGCCATCTTTCTCAGTTAAGGACGTGTCATGCCCATATTGAGCACTTGCTGTGTGTTCAGTGAGTACTCAATTAATGCTGTTAATTGTTATTCTTGTCAACATCTGTAGTACTTATTCAACCCTTACTATGTGCTGAGTACTTTGCTAAGTCCTCTGCACTCATTATTTCATTTAGTCCTTATGACAACCAGCAAGGTAAGGACTGTGAACAGTCCTTGTTTTATAGATGAGGGTTCAACTATTTGCCCTAATTCACTCAGCTAATCATCGGCTGAGCTGGAACTCTAACTCAATTCTGCTTGACTCTAAATCCCATGCTCACTCACCTGCACTGCGTCCCTGTGTGGGGAACTGGAACACAAACATTGGTTTCCGGCCTGGTCATCAGCAAAGCCGACATAGACCATTCAGTAGGTGTTTTGAGGAGCCAGAGATAACCCAGACAAACGTGGATTCCTGGACAAAGATCACTATCTTAATTAAAGAGCCAGAACCCCAGGCTGAGTCAACCATGGATCTATTATTTATAGCCACCTACTTCCAAAAAGCACTTGAAACTAGTTGATAAAAGATACATAGAAAATAGAAGCTTTTTAAAAAGGAAGAAAGGAAGAGCTGAGAAATGAAGAGGGTGGGAAAGGTATACAGAAACCCGGGTGGGGCCTGGCTTGGAGCTCTCCCCCATTGCCCCCCCTATCCCCCAGTAGCTGAAGGCAAGGGGGGCCTGAGAGGTTTGTAGAGCACATTCAGGGATAAAGTTTGCAGCCGATTCAGCAGAGGACAGGCTTTCCCCACAGCCATTTCTAGGGGGAAGTGGCATTCAAGAGGCCAGGTTTTTCATAAGCCTGAGTGCAGAAAGACCTTGGGCCCAGTGTCTGAATACCTGTGTGCACCTCCATTTGCAGGACATTTTCCACAATGTCCCTGACTGGTGCATCCGATGGCAAGTTTCCCTCCTCAGTGATGCCATAGACTGGTAGACAAACCCTTTGGGATTTGTTCCTGTGACCTCTGTCTCTGGAATCTTAATTCCACCAGGGATTGTGGTGTGTTTGGGGCAGAGGGGTCTCTGCCTCCATTCCCCATCTTATTGGGGTAGTTCTCAACACAGCCTGACTGGCAAGGCCAGGCATTGGGGTTTGAGGTCACTTTGTCAGCCTCTTGTACTAATTGGCCCTTAGGGCTCTGAAGGGAGGAGCCCTTGCCTATTGGCTGACAGTGTGTCTTTGTGAAGGGAAGATGGGATTACAGAACCCAGACATTGGGGTTGCCCTGGTTTCCTGGGTCTGTGTCCCACTCAGCATGAGTCAATCCCCCGCTGGGTCTGGTCCTGTTGCCCCACTTTCTTTATCTCTTCCCCCAGCCCCCATGCTCAGGTGTCCCCACACCAGCATCAACACCTGTCTGTCCTCTGCAGAAGAGCTAGGCACGCTTGGCAGAGGTGCAGCCCTGCCCTGCCTTGGCCCCCACCTCTTCTCCAAGCTTGGCCAACCCTCAGGGTCTGACTGCTGCCACCTCTGTCTTTGGAAACCTCTGCCCTAGCCCAAGGGATACAAGGGCCCTTTCTAGAACAGCTAACATTAAGCAGCTCTTATGTGCAAGGCACTTTATTTACTTCATTGTCTCAGTCACTCTTCACCAAGCTCTGTGAGGTAGGCATCATTCACCCCACTTAACAGATAAGGAGATTGAGGTGAAGCAAGTTTTACCCAAGGCCACCCAGCTCTCAAACGGCAGAAGTGGGATTTGCACCTAGGTGCTCAAGCACATGGGCTTTCCACTGAGTGCTGAGAGAGAAGGGGTTCAAGAGCATGTGAAGAAATAATCAGCCTGACAATCCAAAGGCCAGCAGTCCCTACGGCCATGACACCTACCTCCTCAGTGGAGCCACCACCCAGGTGCTCACAGCTCTGTCCTCATGGCGCCACCTCCCGGCTCAGTTCAAGTCTAGGGGTAGGAGTGATGATGAAGAGGTTCTCACTTCTCCATTTTGCCCTCCTCCACGGTGCGTCTTCCCTCTCAAGCATAGCGAAGCATCCCGGTAGCCTGCAGCCAACCCTCGGAAGTTGTGAGTCTTTGTTCACAACTCAACTCAGGCTCCAGTCTCTCCACCTTGATGTATTCACTCATCCCCTGTTTACTGAACATCTGCTGGGTGCCAGACACTGGGCACAGCGACAGAAATGCAAAGATGATTAAGACATGGCCCCTGCTTTTATGGGAGGGGAAGGAGATCAGTGCCATATGATCAAGCATAGAGGAACAACATGGGCCTCTGTGGCCAAGGAGAGAAGGGTCATGTGGATGTGGTGTTTGAGCCTTGAAGGATGAGTGTGGTTTCATCAGATGGAAAAGGCAGGCGTAGGAGAGGAAGGTGTTCCAGGCAGGGGTATCGCCATGGGCAAAGGCTTGCTGATGTGAAAGAACATGGTTCTGGTACCTGGAGCACTGGGAGGGGGGGGGTGGGGGCCGCAGTGGCAGAAGACAAGACTAAAGAGGTGGGCTGGGCTCAGGTCAGACACCCCTATATACCAGGTCCAGGAAGTAAGATATAGCCTGAAGGCTGTAGAAGAATTATGCTGGTGATAAAGGGGTGGGGGGGTACTGGAGAAAGGGAGACCAGTTAGGAGCTCATTATAGTGGCTGGGAGGAGTCTGGACAGACATGACTCAGTTGTCTTCATCTGCCGTGTGCCTCTCAAAATCCTGGACATGTACAAGTTCTGTCCGGCTCAGCTCTCCTGGGCAATGTGTTGGTTAAGTGTGGGGACTGTGTGTTGAAGGACCCTTTTCTTACACACAGGAGCTCCATGCCTCAGACCCTGGGCCCAGGTCTGCATGGGGGTGATGCACTTGCAAAGTGAGCCAAGAGCAAAATAATGAGCAAAATAACGTTTAACCTGGCAGCCTCTCCCACAAGTCTGTCTGTCTGCAGCCAGAGGCCAGGGCGATGCCAGGCCGCTCTGATGTTTTCGTCCACGCCACGGCCAAGGCCGAGTGACCAGGCAGCCAGAAGGAGTTCAGGAGGCACAAGTCAGGGAGCTGGGGGATTAGGAAGTACAGAATGGAGAATGCTCTGGAGAGATTGGTTTCTATAGCCATTCATTTGTCCTTTCAATGAACAAATGAGAAATATGGCTAGGCAGATAAAAGCAAAAAGCTCTGGAGGCAGGCTTCATGAGTTCAAGTCTGGGCTCTGTGCTTTGGGAAATTCCATGGCCTTTCTATACCAGTTTTCCCTTATTCCCATGGGGTTGATGTGAGGCTTAACCTATCGTGTAGTAAGTGCCCTACAAATATTATTATAAATATTATTGTTTGAAAATGTACTTCTATGCCAGGTTCTAAATCCCCCTGTTGCTCTTGAATTGCACTCCAGCCTGTCGCCCAGGAGAGATGGCAGTGAGCTCCTTGGGCACAGAAACCATATCTTATTTGTCTCTCTGTATCCACACTGCCTTTGCTAAATGCATTCATTTGTTAAATGAACACACAACCTGGAACAATTTATGACATCCAAGAGACTGCCATCATAAATGTGTCTTTACATCTCCCTCCTACCACATACCTAGACCCAGGCTGTTCTCCTGACTCAGAATTCCACCACCCAATTCCCCACCAACATTTGGAAAATGGGAATCCCCACTCAGATGTGGAATTTAAGAAACAAAACAAATGAGTATATGGGGGGGGGAGGGGGAGAGAGAAACAAACTATAAGAGACTCTTAGAGAACAAACTGAGGCTTGATGGATGGAGGTGGGTGGGGGATGAGCTAGATGAGTGATGGGTATTAAGGAGTGCACTTGTTAATGATGATCGCTGGGTGTTGTATGTAAGTGAGGATCACTAAATTCTCCTCCTGGAACCAATATTGCACTGTATGGTAACTAACTAGAATTTAAATAAAAATTTGAAAACAAAAACAACAGCAAAAAAGGGAAGTAGGAATCCTATTAGCGCATGTCTCACAATGCGTTATGATTACCTGCTGGTGTGCCTGTCTCTCCCATGACACTGAGCTCCTTGAGGACAGGACTGAAGAATTCCGTGTTGTACTCCAAGTGCCCAGCAAAGCATGTGCCTTTTGTGAACTTCACTGTGCAAGTTACAAAGGAGAAGACCTACCCCCGGGGAGCTCACCAGTGCCAGGTGGACAGAGGCATGCAGACAGAACCCTGGTGTGGGCGTACAGGGTCCATCGGGTGAGGTCCTGCATTCTGGGCTGGAGATTTACTGCAGCAGCCCTGGGCATATCCGGCACATCAGCCCCCAGCCCCTGGTCTCAGGGAGAACCACATGGTTCCCAAACATCCACTTTAGTAACAGTCACCCGCCAGTGCCTGGCTCTCTGCTTCAATGCACTATCAACCTGGGAATTTGCAAACTCTCTCCTTAATATCTAAGAAGAAAACATTCTTATGAAAAGCTAATATTAGTAGATACACTCAAGTGAAATTCTTTCCCTAGAAATAAGGAATAGGGCCATTAATGACCACAGTAGAATGATTTTAAATGTCCCCAGGGAGCCAGCAAGAAACAGGGCCCCAGAGAAAGCACTGGGGTAGGGAAGAGGGTTCCACTTCCTGATGAGCAACTACAAATCAGCCTCCCTGGAGCTCCCTGTTGCCTCTGCTCTCACCACCTGCTGAAGCTTCCGCTTGAACCATTTATTATTTCTGTTTGTGCCCACTCAGGAGGCCTGGGCCTTGCTTGCCCTGGGCCAGCCTCAGAATGCTGTCGCCTTGTGGTGGTTGGTATGAAGGCTGCTTCCTGAGACCCTTGATTCCCCCAGGAGATGAGAAACAGTCTCCTTTCATGACTACCCTGTGGTCCAATCTGCCCATGTAGATCTTGAAGCCTTTGGGGAATAGAGGTAAGGTGCTCAGGTAACCCCAGGTTTCCTGGAGGAGGCAGGTGTGGCAGTATGGTAAGCAGGCAAGACAAGGGGCCCTGCATGGAGGTAATGAGCCAGACTTGGTCTTTTTTGTAGTCCTGAGTCTGCCACTCACTTGCTGTGTGGCCTTGGGCAGGTTATTTTACCTCTCTGAGTTTTAGTTTCCTCATCCGGACAATGAGAAAAACCCTTTCCTCTCTCAGACACTCGGCATTAGGACCCAATGACATTAATTGGAAAGGGCTCTGTGGTAAAAGGTAATGTTTCAAGATAGCTACAGGCCTGTCAGGGGCAAGATGAAGGGACCATGGGGGCCCAAAATTCTAATTTCCTCTTCCAACCCCTTCCCACCTCTTCCCTTTTTATTGGTTGCTGGTGTCTTAAATGAGTGGTGAGCTCTTCAATTTCTCCTCTGTGTGCATCTCTGGGACCAAGGATGATCCCTCCAGGTCTCCAACCCCACGTCCTTCCCTCCAACCGGCTATGAGCTGTTTTTATAATATGTTCTCCCAGTGTCACTGAGGTTTGTGCCATGACCCCAATGTTATACACAAGGAAACAGAGGCTCCCCTAAGGAAAGGGACTTGCAGAAGATTTCACAACCAGTGAGTAGAGAGGCTCCTCAGATATGAACTTCGGAGCCCATATTTTTTTTTCCAGTTCTCTGCACTGCCTGCCCGCAGTTCCTGCCTCTTCCTTCCACCTAGAATTCCCTCCTTCTGTCTGCACTCTGTCATCCCCTCCCCCACCCTTGAGAGTTCTGCTCACCTCTGACTTCTTGGAGCCTTTCCTCACTTTCTCACATTTCTTCTCCTCCAAACTATATTTAAAATTTACCTTGTTCTCCAATTCCAGAAAATTGTCCATAAATTAGAAAAGATACACAAGTATAAAGAAGGCAAAAACCACCTAATATCCCATTGCCTAGAAGTTTCCAATCTTCTTTCTAAGCATTTGCATATGTGTTTGTGGGTCCTTTTCCCCAAACTTTATATAATACTTTCTTGCTCCTACTTCTTTTTCTGGCCCTCGTGACTTTCTGACTTCTGTACCTGTCTGATTCCCTCTACCAGAATATGAGCCCTATGAAGGCGGGCTCTGTGCCTTGATTTCAGCTTGGTGTGCACACACCTGCCCAGCACCTAGCTGGTTGGAGGGAAGGACGTGGGGTTGGAGAACTGGGGAGAATTGTCCTTTCAGCTCAGTGCCTGGTTTCAAAGGTACAGGCAGAGGAGGGATGGAATCACCCCCACACATTTAAGACCCCAGTAATCAATGAGAGAAAGTGCACGCCACATGTACCATTTTGTACTTTTCAGATGGAAACATCTACACACAAAGCCTTGGGGAGGTTCGCTCTAGGGAGGCTGGGGCTACACTGTAAAAAGGTAGAGATGAACCTGGATCCACACCCCAGCTTTCTCCCTTCCTAACTGTAACATTGGGCGCATTATGCAAACTCTGAGGCTCAGTTTTCCCATCTGTAAAAAGGGGACAGTAACACCTCTTTAAAGTATAGTCCTGCGGATGACATGGCAAATACAAACAACTTCACACTGTGCCTGGCATGAAGACAGCCCCCACTGAGTGCTAGTCTCCCTCCCTCCCTTCTTCCCAAATGGTTAAGATGTCAGTTAACAGCCTCCCTTTATTACAGGTCTATCATGTGCTAAGCAATGTAGGGGTTGGAAAAGATGCTCTTCCTGCCTTAAAATCCCACTGGGGATAAAAGACTTACACAGGAGCTGATTAGAGAGTAAGGTAGTCCATTATGAGGGCTAATTGAGCAACCCAGACAATGATACAAAATGAGTTAGGACCGGGCACTGGGGTCCACAGGGAGGCCACAGATGCACTTTCTTCCAGATAAATAACAGTCTTTGCAACTCTGGAAGCAATCAAGGCAGGAAGACTCCAGAGATAAGCTTATCTGGGCCTCGGCCGCAGAGTTGGCATTTGTAAGCTTTGGTTTTTTTATCTGTCTCATGTTACCAGCTGTCCAGAAAGTCCAGCAATCTGATGGTTGGGAAACCCAAGGTTAGGTTGGGTTGAGAGAACGAAATGAGACCACAAAGATCAGAGAACAGAATCTGAGGGGACCTGTAACCATGTATCCATCAGGATCTCCTCTCAGTTCTGCTCCTCAGCAAGGGACAGAAAGGAATTCATCAGGTTTCTTGCTGCCTCTGTTTTTTTCCATCCCGGTATTCCTGACAAATCACAGTGGAGTGGTGTAACGTGGTCATTAAGAGCATAAAGCTCTAGAGTCAGATAAATCTATTTTCTCTGCTATTTGCTGGCTGTGTGGCTTTGGGCAAGTTACTTAGCCTTTCTGACCCTCACTTTCTTTGTAAAGTGGAGACAGTCAAAATAAACCTCTTTCGTATGATTATTTTAAGCTTTAAGAAAGATGATACTATTACGATACTCATCACAGTGCTTATGAAAGTTCAACAAATGTTAGCTGGTTTTAGTATGCCTAAAGTCAGATCTGTACGAAAACAGAGTGGATTATTTTTCCCCAAATGTGCATGTCAGAAGCACACACTTTATTGGCAGAGGGCTACTTGTGGAAGGTTGAGTGGTAGTCTGGAACAGAAAAGAGTGCTGGCAAAGTTGGCCACAAAATTCAGGTCGCCTCACTCAGTGCTTTTCATATTTTTTTTTACTATAATCCACTCTACATCACAGTCCACTACATTCATGCATTGATAGATAAGGGGGGAAAA